CATGTTCTGGGGGTCGTTCCCGTAAAAAACCGGCCGGCCATCCGAGGCGCGCCAATGAGGGTGGTATTCACCGGCAAGACCTGGTCGATGGGAATTTGATCGAGGGACCAGTGGTCGGTGCATTTGTGTGTGCGCGCAACGTTTGAGGTAGTACCCTTGTTGAGGCTGCTTTAAAGGGAAACCAAAGGAAAACCAACATCGTGGAGACACAGACCCGTTTCCTTGGCGGCCCTTTACCGGGGATCGCGCAATCCCGGGCAACTTCGGGCAGTTTGTATTTTTGTGGGCGCGCACCTCTCAGCACATCAGGTTTATCGGCTATGTTGGTTCTGCCTGAATCTGCCGGAAATCCCAACCCGGTACAGCGTCCTAATTTCAATGGGACATGCTTTGGAAGGACACCAACATCACTTGAATTCACAAGTTGTCGGACTGGGACGGGTTGTAAAGAAGAACCAACACGAAACCAACGCCCTTTGTCACATTTGTGTTTGTGTCGAAACGCAACACTTCATTCAGGGTAGCCCTCTCAGGTTTGTCCTAGCTTTTGACTCATTTTGATACTAGTCAGTGTTTGGTCCCCCCGTAGTTTCTGAATCATTCGGGTCCCGGGTGTCGCTCAGTTTGGTGGCTGCAGACGTCAGGATAGCTGGCGCTGATGCTGATAATGTGCTTGGGTGCAATTTGGGGCCAGTTGTGGATGATGCTGATGATGCCGAAGCCTGGGTTTTTGGTGGCTGGGAATGCAAACAGCGCCCAGGTTGCCGGTGGGTGTTCGGGAATAGACGTGCGTGCGGGCGGGCGTGGTCGTGCGCGTGCGCCGCGTGTGGGCGGCTGGGCCGCTTTGAGAAGAAGGTTGAAGCTTTCCCCTGGCGCACAGCCAGCGCAGCTGGTGCAGGCCGCGGCCCTTAAACACAACACACAAACAAGCATCCATTTTGAGAGGAATCTCCTTCCAGGGGACGGTTCCCTCCGGTAATTTGTGCGGAGTACCTCAAACCTCCAAGGTTTGCTGGTGCTCGCCTGGTCCGCCCCCACGATGCGCATGGGGATGCGGAAGGCTCCGGAGCCGCGCTCAGCGTCCCGGAACTCTGGATGCCTCTGGGTGGGGGGTGAAACTTTCGGAACTTGTTTGGGGGTGCTTCAAAGGGAAAAAGGGAACCAAAGGCAAACCACCCATGTTTTGGGGGTTTTGTTGTTTGGTTTACAAGGAACCAAAGGAAAACTACCCAGTTTGGGGTTGGATGCAAAACCTGCGGATTCCCCCCTTTGAGAGGGGCTGCAAAAGAGTCACCAAAGAGTGCCGAAAGAGTGCCAAAAGACTGCTTCGAGCGTGCCACAAGCGTGCAAAGAGAGTGCAACAAGAGACCCAATAATGGTGGAATCCGCAACAGAAGCTGATGGAACAGCCTCTACTGGTGTTAGTCACCAACCATCACCGGGCATGGCTCTGGATTGGCATGTGATAGTCACTCATCACTGAAGCCTCACCTAAAACCAGTGACTTTGGTTCTTTATCGTACTTAATGCTTTACCAAATCGGGGCGAGGAGTTTTGGGCGCTCACCCGAGACCTGACGCCTGTGCAAAGCCGGACTGCCTCCGAATCCATAGGTCAAATTTGCGAGTGAGCAATCACACACACACACAGACTTCCCTTGCATGTGTCGACAGCTTGTGATAATCTACAGTACTAGTACTGTAGCTGTTACTTGAAACAATAGTGGCTTGTGGGGGTAGATAGGGCTGTTTGTTGCCCTCATCTAAGATGGCTGTGCGGCTGTGCGAAGTCGTTCTTTCCAAAAAAGAGTTGGCGGCAGCGTGCTGTCTGGTTATATGCTGATGTTGGAGTTTGTAGAGAATGGTACATGTCGATGGCGGCTCAATGACGCGCGCATGGGCCCCTGCCTGTCCAAGAAGTCCGCCTTGGGCGAGAACTTGACCTCCGGGTCTTCAGAGAATCGGATTCCAAGTGAGCGACCTTTGATCTTGGCCCATGGCGAAAAGCAGCGGAACCACCGGATGCCCATTAGGGTTTTTGGCACAGTGAGCCTGGCATTCAGATCATAGCTGGCCACACAAAACTTAAGTCATCGCCACTTTTGGTTACGGCCCGCAAGGGCACCCAACAAATAATTTCAACTTCACAAGACAGGATGGCTTCTGGATCCAAACCGCCCAGTTCAGAGTTGCTTGGGGTGCTGCAATGGAAGAGACATCTCCACCAAGGGCATGGTGATCACAGTCTCTTCTACATTTCAAACTATCTGATTCCTTGTCTGTTTCGCTGAGTGAACATCAACTTGGTGGCTACTCCTCTTTTTCAATCCCGTTGACCCCCGTGGCAAAGGCAGGCCTGCCCCATAGGGCGATGTGTTCGTCTCTGCCGGCGTGGGCAGTCGCACTGAGTCAAATCACGGCACCGTAAAGAGGGAATAGCTTCTGCTCAATGGTCAGCATCCGCGCAACAAAAATGAAGCTAAATTGAGTCATGACCGTGGACCATGATGTTAGTAATTGTTCAGCCCCTATCAGCCATGCTGGGCCCAAAATTACTTGATATCGAGTCAATCGTTCATGCCATGAACTTGGGGAACCCTCCCGGCCCAACCCCCCGCCCCCCATTTGAACTCATGGATCCAAAGCACCAAGAATTGCTTCTCCCGACCCAAAGGGTCTCTTGCAACGCTAATACCCTATCGCTTTTGGACTCATTTGGGGTTAATTTGGCGTATAAAAAGGGAAAGAACCCGAAGAACAAACAGCAAAAAACACAAATCCACCCTCCCTGAGCCTGGATAGCCTGGGATCCGTGTCCCTGGATGTACGCCAGCGCCGTGTTCAGCCTTGCGGCCGCTAGAGGTTCGCTCGCTTTTGGGCGCCCAGGCTGTTTCGGCCAGACCTGCTTGCTGGTTGAAAGGGAACATGAAGAAACGACTACAGGCAACAAGGTAAACAAAGAAGCCCAGTCTGGCAATGCTTGGGCGCATGGGGACTGCACTCATGGAATGGACCCGAGGACATGTTGTTGGCTTCCCTTTGCCAAAGAAAAACGGGTGCGTCGCGTTTGGATACCCAATTTGGGCTGCTTTGTCCAAGGTGCCAGAATGGTACAAGGTCGATGTGAGGGCTGTTTGGGGGAAGTTTGGTCTTACAGAAGAACGCAAAGGGGGTCATAGCGCAAATTGCCAGGCACTATCTCTAAGCGTACGGATGTTGAACGCTTGACGTTGTGCTCCCCTTAAGCAAAAACAAGCATCTCGAAAGTCTGACATTTCTGGGCGCACTCACATATTTCAATCCGGGAATAAGGACAGCCTGGTCTTCCTGCTAGGGGAAAGGCAAGAGGAAATCCGAGGCCCATGCTGGAGCTCCCCCTCGATCTGCTTAGGCTTCTGCACCTGAGTATGTCTCAATAAATAGGGGACTCAACAAAACTGTGTTTTTTTTAAGACGTCCTTTAAGGGTATAAAGGTAGAGGTGCTTTTTATTTCCCAGGGCCAGTTTTTCCCCAAAAATGGTTTTCCTTCGGGCTGGCAACATCCCCAGCATCACCAGCCAGCCTCACTTGGCCGGGGGTTGCCCAATTGATTGGTAGGCAGTCGGAGTTGCTGTGGGCTGGTTTAAGCTACAGGAGGGTGGGTCTTGTGGCTTTGGGTGGATTTGGGGTTGGCTTGGAGCTGATTTGTGTTGGGTGTGTTGCTGGACAAACGCTGCTTTGAGGGTTGTGTAGGAATGTTGTTGTTGCATGAGTTGTGGGGTAGCTGTGATGGTCTGGGGCAACGCTCCAAAACCAATCCAAAACGAGACCAAAACTCGCGTAAAGGCCCATTTTTCCAGCAGCACACCCAACGCAATAAATCAGCTCCAAACCAACCCCAAATCCACCCAAAGTGCACCCTAAACCCGCCCAACAGCCCGTAAATCAAACCCAAACCACCACAAGAACCACCCTAGCGAAGATCTAAGCCCCCCTTAATTTAAACCAGCCCCCAGCAACTCTCAACTGCCCTTCCAAGCAGAGCCAATAAACAAAGCCAACCAACCAACCAACCAACCAACCAACCAACCAACCAACCAACCAACCAACCAACCAACCAACCAACCAACCAACCAACCAACCAACCAACCAACCAACCAACCAACCAACCCAGCAACCCAGCAACCCAGCAAAAAAACAAAACACACAACTGGAAACAAGTAATAAACAAAAAACAGCTCAGGCGATATCCCCAACAGCACCACACCCTCCCAGAATCCTCGCACAACGCCCCGGAATTCACCTCACCGCCGGTGTTGCTGAGGATGCCGCCTTGTAACTTTATAAAGCAAAGCTAAGAGTGACAGCGCAATCGCGCCCTGATCGGGGCCCGGCGCAATCGGGGCCCGATCGGGGCCCGACATTGCAATCGGGGCCCAATCGGGGCCCGATGGTCCCGTGGTGCAGCCCCAGCATATTATAGCTCAACGCCGGTTTTCCTTAGGATGCGGCCTTACAACTGTATCTAACAAAACTAGGCGATGACAGCTTGGTACAGTTAACGGGGCCCGACTGAGTCGGGCCCCGATTGGGGCGCGAATGCGCAATCGGGGCTGATCGGGCCCCGACTGCAATCGCGGTGCAATCGGGCCCCGACCTGGGCCCGGTGAACCTCGCAAACCGTCCTCGCGGAACCCTTGTCAAACTCAGCGTGAAACTTTGTTGGAACCTTTCCTCAGGGCTGCCCCGTAGCTTTTGCATGGTGGAAACCTCGTGGAGCGTTTTTGCAACCTTACTCCACAGCCCTCGCAGCCTCGTGGAATTCTGGGAACCCAAAGCCCACCTAGTAATACTCAGCAAGCATGTACTCTGCTGCACCGTGAGTCCCGCAGCAACGTGATCTGATTTGCCACAAAGCCAACATTTCGGCACAGTGAAAGCATTGGTTTCGGTTTTGCTTAGTGTTCCGCCCATGAGCAAAGCGATCTTCTGAGCCCTCAATTTACTGCTCCGATGGCTTTTCAGACGGCGGGCGCACGACACACTGCTTCCCTCCAGGGCAAACCACGGAACCTTGCTGGAACCCTCGTGGAACCTTGTGGAGCGCTGTGGAGCCCTTGTGGAATCTTTGCGGACCTCAGGGCCGCCCCGGACCGTCCCACAGCCCTCGCAGAACCTCGTGGAACCCTGAAACCTTCATGGAACTTTACCTCATCTCGGACTACCCCGCAGCCCTCGCAGAACCTCGCGGAACCCTGCTAGAACCCTGGTGATGGAACCTTCATGGAACCTTACCTTGCAGAACCTGGTGGAACCCTGGTCAAACCCTGGTGGAACCCTGGTGGAACCCTCGTGGAACCTTACCTCAGGGCCACCCCGGACCACCCCGGAGCCTATCTTGAGACCCCAAAGCTTTCAGCTGTTGGGGGAAAAAACAACAACAACACCGGATCCCTTCCTTTAAACCAACCCCAAAAAAGGGTAGCTACGAAAAATGTCTGAACGCCCGCGTAGTAGGAAATGGCCAGGGCACCTTTCGGGCCAAATTGTTCAGAAGCTCGCCCAACCCAAAGCTAGGTCCAGCCAAATTCAGCATTCCCGAAACAATTCCAACAGCTTCCCCAACCTCGGACGGGCGGCCGGTGAACCAACTTTGAGTGGAGTATCCTAGCTAGTCTTGTTGAATGTGAGCTCCAGTCAACCCCCCCCCCCCCCGAAATTCATGGAAAATGCCAAAGCTAAATCACAGGATAGTCCAGTCAGGATCACCGCAAAAGATGTGGGTTGGCGTAGGATTCGCTTGGACCATGCGATTCCACTCATGTTTTGACCCGACACCCAACTTTGATTCCAGACACCTAGCGGCTCGACCAAATATTATGGGCATCTTTGCTGACCATAGCGACCCCTTTGTTGACCATGTTCAAAAGAAACAAAAAGCAAGAACTACGGCAAGTACTCTATGTTGGGGTATATCCACATCTATGCATGTATGCATGTGTATGTATGTGTTTATGCATCTATGTGTCTGCGGGTCTATGTGCATATGGAGTGTCGTTCTCTGTGTGTGTGTGTGTCTGCATGTCCGGTTTATGTATGATTGTATGTATGCATGCATGCATGCATGCATGCATGCAGGCATGTATGTATGTATGTATGTGTATCTATTCATGTATGCATGAATGTATGTATGTGTGTATGTGTGTATGTACGTATGTACGTATGTACGTATGTATGTATGTATGTATGTATGTATGTATGTATGTATGTATGTATGTATGTATGTATGTATGTATGTATGTATGTATGTATGTGTGTGTGTGTGTATGTATGTATGTATGTATGTATGTATGTATGTATGTATGTATGTATGTATGTATGTATGTATGTATGTATGTGGGTCAGAGTCTATATGCAATATGTATGTCTGTATGTATGCGTGTATGTCTGAATGTCTGCATGCAGGTAGGCACGTATCCATGTATTTATGTATGTATGCAAGCTGTCATGTATGAATGCATGCAGGTATGCATCTATGCATGTATGCATCTATGCATGTATGCATGCATGTAGGGATGTATGGATGTCTGGATTAATGGATGTATGGATGTATGAATGAATGCATGCATGCATGTATGGACATGTGGATGTACGCATGTATGGACATATGGATGTATGGATGCATGCATGTATGGATGATAGATGTATGGCTGTACGGATGTGTGGATGTATGGATGATTGAATGTATGGATGTATGGGTATGTGTATGGGTATAGGTATGGGTATATGCATGGGTATATGCATGGGTGTATGTATGCATGTATCTATGTATGTATGTATGTATGTATGTATGCATGTATGTATGTGTGTATGTATGTATGTATGCACGCATGCACGCATGCACGCATGCACGCGTGCACGCATGCATGCATGCATGCATGCATGTATGTACGTGTGTGTGTGTGTGTGTTTGGTTGCATAAATGTTTTTAATGGTTGTATGGGTGTATGTGTAAACACTCTCCGGTTGTGTGCGTGTGGGTATGTGTGTGTGTATGCGTCTAGGTGTGTTGTGTGTGTGCGCGTGTGTGAGTGTGGGTTTGTGTCTGTCTGTATGTCTATCTATTTAGATGCGCTCATAAATGAGATACACACATATGTGCAAGTATGCATGCACGCACGCACGGATGCATGGACCGATGGAGAGATGGACAAAGAGATGGGTAGAAGTATGGATGCATGCGTGGATGGATGCCTGGGTGTGTGGGTGTCTGAGTGTATGGGTGCACGGGTGCATTGATGTATGGATTGTGAGAATATATGTATATACGTACATAGGATTCTATGTGTGTGTGTGTCTGTATGCGTGTCTGGGTGTATGGGTATGTATGTGTAGGTGTGTATGTGTTCGTGTCGGCATGTGTGTAGGTACGTACTTTGGTGACTTTGGTGGGTATGTATGCATGTGTATATATATATATATGTATACATATATGTGAGTATGTGAAGATCTGAAAACTCATGCAACGAAACATGAAATGCAGCTGCTCTCATAGTACTGCTGAACTGTGATTCGGCAATGACACGTGATGACTCGATCCGATGCAATGACGGCACGACATGCAAGAAACTTGGACGACCAATATGGATTTAAGTATGACGTGTCCATCGAAATGCCTTTGGCGGACATCATCTACATGGGGCTGCATGTCCATCCAGGGAGTGTGTCGCCTCTTCAAGTTCATAGGCATAGCTTGGGACAACGTGCGTTGTCGGTCGCTGTCCCTTTCAAATTACAGGCTCCCAAGCTTGGTGCCCTTAGGGAAACCAAAGGGAAACTCACTTCCGGTCGAGTGGCTCGGCCAAAAGAGGCAAGTGTTTGTTTGCCACGAAAGCGATCTTCCCAAAATGGGACTCAAGTCTCAAGTCTAGGAACTCGGGCAAGCATTTTCCGGGTGCCAAAGTTGGAAATTCAAAGGGAATTTCAAAATGGGAATTTTCTGGGTGCCAAAATGGGAATTTGGACCCTAGACATGGTGGTCGCAGGCAAAGATCTCTCAGGATGCGACCTGAATCTTCATCGCCACAGAGGCCCGGTTCCGGATCATCACGCTCTCGCGGAAGATGTGGCCGTAGACGCAGGTCTGTAGGTGGTACCTTCGAGTAAAGGCGTCAAACGGAGTTCCGTATGCGTTCCTGTTGCACATCACCCCCAAAGAGGTGTTTCTCAAGCTAAGGACCCCTTACTTGGGAGAGTCCTGCGCAAATCCACCGAGTTGGCGCATGTTGGCGCGTTCGCGGAAGGCGCCATGACCCCTTCAGGCGGTTGGTTTCTTTTTGGTAACCAGCCTCCAAAGTGGACGATTCCGTAGAACCGCCCCTAAAGGAAGCTGGCATCCAGAAGGTGATATTCACATTGAACCCCCAACGGAAGCTGGACTCTCTGGCTCCCAAACCACCGGATGTTGGAAAATTCAGGAGCGCACCACTCAAATGGTCTCGGAGTCTTCGGAATTGGGGGCTTTTGGGTGTTGGTTTCGTGGCTCTGTGGACTTTAAAAATACCGGGGGGGTGGACTCAGACCCGGAAACCAATCACTTAAGAGCGGTTTGAGTTTGCTCCACCAGTCATGAGCAAGCCCGCAAAGGGACATGGATGACATGTTTTGTGAGACTGCAAACCTCCGCGTTCCTTGTTTGGTGCGTCATTGTCTTATTTTCAGCATGTAGCATCCGCGGGGGAAAGATGGCAAGCACCGTGCTTCCCGGTGCATGCATTGGTGTCAGATATGTTGCCACAGCCAAACATCAAGAACGAGTCTTCTGCAATTCAGTAATGCGGACTTGCCTCTATATAAGGGAACTGCAAAATGGGTGGCTTCCCTTCTATTCCGCTTCAACCAACCCAAAATGGATACCCGGGAAAAGATACACCTATGTTGAACCCCCAACAATCATTTAGAACCCTGCAGTCAAACCTGCTGGGCAGCCAAAGAAGTTGGGACTGGGCAAGACTTGGGCTAGGGGCAGATTTTCTTTATGACTGATAACTCACTGATAACTAAGTCCACAAGCAACCTTCCCCCATCCCTGCCATGCACAGTACCTGCTTCTTTCGCTCTGAAACTGAGTGTCTTTTCCTAGGAGACCCGTCAACAGGGACAGTAGCCTTGACTTCAAAGTTCGCCCCAAGCGCGGGTCAAAAGACAAATGGGGACCAGGAACGCCGTGACAGTTCTTCACTGGACAGCGTAGCCAAATCATGGGTTCTGATGCTGCTCTTGAAGGGACAGGGTACGTAAGCGGTTGACAACTGGTTGTGTACTAAACGGGGCTTTACAACCATGTGGGTTACTACGGCCACGAAGCACTTACCTGACTTGCCAAATCCATCGCTGCTTTAACTTCGCCGACATCTCAGCTGCACAGAAAACCATATGTTCTGAGTCTGGTTCATGTTTAGCTGAGCCACTCCTCTCGATCCACGTAGATGGGTACGTCCAAGCAAGAGCCTCGCAGCAGCACCCTATGCTCCTTCTCATACTTCGCGTCTCCTCAGACGCGCGGGCCGTGCTGGATTTGTGTGGATGGGTCATTATGCCAATATGTGCACGTATATGGTTGTTGCTCAAGTCATATGCATCTGCACGTGTACAGGCAATGCATATAATATTGCAGGTGTACCAATGAAAACAATCCTGCACCATGCAGCTTCGGAAATCAACTGACTAGCACAAACCTGTATATGATACATAAATGTATATACATATTCATGATGATGTTGGCATAACACGCACTGGAAGAATCCATCCTTCCCGCCTTTGCCCACTCCCACCAAAGAACAACTAGCAGCGTGCTTGGCATATCGCGTGCTTTCTTCATGGGTAGTGAGTTGATTATGCAAAAATGTGGGGAGCCGTCTGCAATCTGCACTACTTACTGGGAATTCAACAACCTGACATCAGCAATCCTTGGGTAAGGGACCTTCATCATAGGTGAGACGTTTTGACCCCTGAATCTGTGAGCTCCCCGGAATTCGTGACTGGCAATATCTGGGACTCCTTTTTGGAAGCAACTTGCAGCCGGGTGCTTCCCGCAAGTGAAGCCCCTTCTCGCATGGTCAGAACAAACAAGTGGCATCAAGTGGCTAGACTTCAAAAACCATGTTGCTGCTTCACGAAGTTCCAAAGAAAACCAGGCCCCAGATTGGAAACCAGGCCCCAGATTTCGGGCCCCTGTTTTTGGAAAGCCATCAAAGCATGGCTTCCTTCGTTGGACAACTAGCGCGTCGCCCAATGTCCCTGCAAACTGAAGTACCCCGGAAGTACTCAACTGCCACCCACAGAATTGCGAAGCACCCTCACAAACAGCCTGGTAACCATGACGCCAAGCAACAAGGACTGAAGAAACAAACAAGTAAAGGGGTACACCCACACCTATACACAAAATACACACCCACGCAAACTTAGAAGCGAAAACAAGCAGGTGAATACTACCACCTTTCATTCTTCATCACTCGAGGTCTCGGACACGTCTTTCGCCGAGCATCCAGGAGCACCGTTTGCAATACACAGGTTCCTTGGCTCACGATGGCGTGATGGTCAAAACTCCATGTGGGAGATGGTCATAGTTCCCTCAGAAACACTTGCAGTGGTTGTATCAAAGCCCTACCAAAGGTGCCATGACCATCCCTGGCCCAAGTAAGCAGGTGTTTTGACCATGGCATGTTGCATGTTGCTTCCATTTCTCTTCTATTCGTTTAAAACGAACACCTGACATCACTCATGAGTCGTGACCATGTCTCGTAAAACCAGGTGCAAACAAACCTTCATCCTGAAACTTAATTGCTGATGAACGGATTCGGCCTGTGGAAAGAGTCCTCCACTAAAGCTCTTGTAGCCTTCACTTAAAAACAACACACACCGAGAGAAATGTGAAGCTTTCCAAAGGCCCACTTAGGCCCTAAATCACATTTTGAAAAGTCCTGTACTCAAGTGATGACGTCCTGTAGTCACATGATGACGAACAAACAGTTGACAAATAGGTTAAGGCTTTGTGGAGGACGCACTTATGCTGAGGCGAGGCCACCCTAGTTGGCCCACAACCACATACACAAACGCACTGGGGGGTGGGGTGTTTCTGGAAGCTGTGAACACTTGTCAGGTTTTCACTATAAAAGGCCACAAGGGGTCATTGAGGGTCTCCATGTTGGACAACATGTGGGTATGTGTCCAAAGAAAAACGGAACCCTAAAAGTTGTGGGTTTCCTGTTTGGATTCCATTTAAACCAAGGCAAAAGGGTACTCCCAACACACACACACACAGACACAATGGGGACCCTTTGGTGTACATCATGGGATTCGTGTCCGGTTCCCCGTTAAAGTTTGCCATGTAAGGTGTCCAACTCAACCGTGCTGTTTAGGCCAGGCGCAGCTCCGCAGCAAAGTCTCCCAGCCTCGCCGTGGCGGCCAAAGGCGAAGGGAGCGAACAAAAAGGAATATGCCGTCTAAGGACGAGTGAGCAAAAAAGACTATGTTCCCAACGTTGTCTTTTCAGATTTGGGCCCCACCCTCTATTTTCCCCGCTTTTCGGTTTCACTTGAAAGAGAACTGTGGGTTGTTTTATAAGTAAAATACCACCCAAAGGGAAGCCCGCGAACGGCTTGCGCAGCGGGGAGACCACTACTCAAATCCCCTGGCTCGAAGTCCACAAACAAATGCGATCCTTTGCAGTCAATAAATCAAAGGAAATGGACGGAACCTCTACGTCCACACCGAAATCCGTTTGTTTTTTTTTATCCAACCCCCTTGACCCCATGGATGGCTGTTGAAAAACGAAATCTGTTTTTGGGTCGTCCCTTGCCATGGCTTTTGGATGGCTTCCGCGCCTAGTGGGCTTGAAGCAGAAGGAGATCTTCGAGGTACCGACAGATTTGCAGGTGCCACCTTCTGTCCAGGTGATCCTCGGAAACGAGTCGAGAAACACACACACCAAAGTTGGTTTTTTGTTGTTGGGGCTTGAAAGGCTGATTTCTTGGCTGGAATTAGGACCCCCGCAAAAACATGTGTTTTTGCCTGGTAGTGGAAAACAAAGGGGATCTAATTCTGGCTATTCGGGCTTAATGTTTTTGAGGTGATATGCTGTTTTGGCTAGCTGATACCTCCTTGGAATGTACCAAGGGACGCGGGCTTGATTATTATTGCACAAGAAAGAAAGCATTGATCTACCCCTGGATGACTTTGAGTGCGGGGGGGGGGGTCTTTTCAGAGGAAGATCCTGCATGTTTGAGTCGGAACACCCCTTATGCAACAATCAATCCAACAGATTGATTACTCCCCTGCAGCTTAACACGGAACCAAACAGCAATCCGAGTTTAGAATAAGCGCCTTTTGGAATTCGACCCCGTTTTGCGTTGCATGGTCATAAGGAAGTAGCTCGCAAACTGCAAAAATGCATCGGCGCGAACGACTCTTCAATTCACACAGCGAGCCTGAGCTCCTGCTACAGGAAAGCAAACACCTTAGACTCTGGGGGATGGAGGAACGAGTAAAACCTGGCAAAGGAGTCTACTCAGAAAACAAAACCAGCGAGGCAACGAGTCACCCAACCAGCCACGCACAAAATACAAATGCACCCCCTCAAAACCCGCGCCTGCCGTTCATGTAAGGGAAGACAGGTCCTTTTAGACAAATGTTCCCAGAAGAGGGATCATTTCACAACGCTGGCAGGCTTGTGCAAATGTTTAGTTCAGACTTTGCCACCCAAGTTGTGTTGTTTCTTCTTTATTGCAGGTTGCTTGTGTCATTCCTCCTGTTGATCCTTTTCCAATCATTTCACACATACTATGCTGGTCGTGAACCACCCAATCAGGAATGAAAGCAGACGCCTTACAGCGCTTTAAGGCACTTTTGGATGTAAGGCTTGAGTTGAGATGAGAAATCAACAATTATTGGGCGAAGCAGATCTGATACTGTTTGCTTTAGTTATTCTTGATACCCTTGCCCGTTGCCTTTACAAAGATGTTGTACAGTCAATTGAGTGAGGATAACATTAGTGATGAAGACTTGAACAAAGCAAACTTAACATGGGCACATGTTGACATCTCAAATATGAAAGAACGTTGGTAGTTCAGCATATGGATACTGGAAAGTTAATTCTGTAAAAAGTAGATTGAAGAAATCCACACCTGCCCTGGATATTGAACAACACACACTGTAATTACAATAATAGTGCGTGTTTGTTCAGCAGATTTTGTGCAGAACAGAATTCGTTGCATATGCCCCGAAATCTAGAAATATCTAGAATCTTGAATGCAGTACGGAGCCCCCCCCCAAAAAAAATGCTTTGAAGCGCTTTGAACGCTTTTCTGGGCGGATACAGTTACAGTCAAATGTGCAGTTGCGGGCACAGTAAAATGCTCAAATGTGGGGTGCCTGAAAAGGAGGCAAAATTCATCCAAAAGTACTGTAACTACCGCGAAATGATCTTGTGGGTCTTTGCTGGACGGAACCTCACACACACACACATTTACACGCACAGGACATGCGCAAGTGTCACTATTCACATGCCAGGGCACATGTCCACAATGTCGCTGCTTCGGCCCTCAATGATTTGTGTGACTGCCTCCTTGTCCTCCGTCTCGCCCTCTGCACCAGCAAACGCCTCCGCCTCTGCCTCTGTCGCCTCTGCCTCCTCCGGCTTTGCCTCAGCCGCTGGCCGAACTCAATTCTGGGTTGGTCTCTGCGCTGCAAAAGAAATTGATTGCTAGATTGGTTGAGAATCTGTCAGTGTCCCGAAACATAAAGGAATAACAAGACAATGTTGAACCAAAGTGCTACAGCCAAAACTTCACGTTGCGATCTGCGTTGGATCATCTTTTGCAGTGACTCCTGCAGTCTCCACGCAGTTCAACGGTTACAAGTGGCCAAGAATCAAAAAGAAACACCGTTTGGTGAGTCATCTGCCAACTCTCCACAGGGGCAACCCCAATGATCCAGGGTCAAGGGCCCGTTTCGCAGCTGTATCTCTGGGGCTTTAGACACTTTGGATCAGGGAAACCTCACGAGATTCCCTGTCTACCCAGTGTCCTTTGCCAGTGATCCAGGGAGCCAGGCCCTTCTGTTTATCTTGCCCGCCAAACCCTCCAAATCCATTCGGAGGGGTGAAATCCTCCAAAAGTCCACCCGAGAAAATAAAAAAAAAAAAAACCCTCCGCAAAGTCCACCGAAAAGAAAAAAACAATAAAAATAAAAGGTTTTGGCACGCCCAGACCCAAATCCATGTGCTCCGAACCCGCCAAGCTTCGGCCGCATCGTCCTCGGCCGCCGCCTCGGGCTCGGGCGCCTCAGCTGCCTCGGGAGCTTCGGGCGCTTCCTCTGCCGCGCCGGCCGGGGCGTCCTCCTCGGCACGGCTTCTCACAACGGGTTTCGGAGTCCTTTCGGTTGGGATGTACCTGGAGTCTCCATGACCCTTAAAAAATGAAGTCACCCAAAATTAAGGGGTTATGACCCCTTTTTCTGAGGGTCATGCAGACTCTAGACAAGGGAACACCAAAAGGAAACCACCCATTTTGGGGGACCACTAACTTGAGAAACATTCAGGTGGGGTGGCGACTGTCAGTACAGCCTGAGAACTGGCCGAAAGAAATCCAAAGCGGGAGCCCTCCGGAAGCTAGCGCTTGCAGCCCCCTTTAGGCCGCCTCAGCACGGCCCAGGCGCCCCAAAGAAAGAATTGGACGAGGGTTCGGACGACCACCATCCTCTTACCCAACGCATCAACTGGCCACATGTCCACTTCCATGATTGTCGGAAAAAGGGTATGTCATTTTAGAGAGATTCCTCTCTACGGTCATGAATCACAGAGAACCCATGCAAGAACGAAAGAACCCTCGTTTAGGGTTCCATGTTGACCTGCATTTTAAGGGGATTCCGAGCAGCGAAACTTCTGAAGTCGCAAGTGTTTTGGCCAGGAACGTGTATTTGTACATGTAAACATATATTATATAAATGAACCCTATTTCAAGACGGACTCCACTATTGCCTTGGCCGAATCCAGCATCTCCGTCCTCCACCAGTTCGATGCCCACAACCTCGCGATTGCCACGGCCGCCGCTGAGATCAGGCTCAATCACCTTCGCAGGCCGACAGAAGCACAACCACCCCTCACCGCCGAAAGGAAACAGAAAGTAGCCTGTCACACTGAGAATTCTTATACTGATTGCCCCCAGCAAAGAGCCCAAGAGATGCTGTCAGAATCCCCCCACATCCACAAGTTCATGTTCCCCATGACATGAGTATTCCCAATATCATACAGAAGGACATATTTCTATGTGTTTTGTTTGTAAATGTTTCTTACAAACAGAATCAAGAAAGGCCTTGGGGTTTCTGCTGCTCGGAGCAATGATCTCAAGACCGTGCCTGTCGGCGCAACGTGAACTTTGCCGAGAGCGCGCCGGTGTTCTTGATGGTAAGCTCCTCACATCGAATATTCTCCATCTTAGCCACAATACCTCCCCCTTCAAATTGGAATTGGCCATATTTGTGTGCACACATGCGTGTCTGTATGTGGGTATGTGTTTGTGCGTGTATGTGTGTATGTGAGTATCTGTGTATGTGTGTATGCATGTATCTATGTATCTATGTATGTATGTATGTATGTATGTATGTATGCATGTTTGCATCTATGTATGTATGTATGTACGTACGTACGTATGTACGTATGTATATGTGTGTGTGTATGTATGTATGTATGTATGTATGTATGTATGTACGTATGCATGCATATGTGTATGTGTATGTGTGTGTGTGTATGTGTATGTGTATGTGCATGCATATGCATGCATGTACGTATGCATGCATGTATTTATCGATGCATATGTGTATCTGTGTATCTATGCATCTATGCATCTATGTACCTGCGTATCTATGTATCTATGCATCTATGTATCTATGTATCTATGTATCGATGTATCGATACATCTATGTATCTTTGTATCCATATGTCTATGTATCTATGTATCTATGTACCTATGTATCTATGTATGCATGTATCGATCTATCCATCCATCCATCCATCTATCTATGTTCGTATGTGTGTGTGTGTATGTGTCTTCTGTGTGATATGTGTGTATGCGTGTGTATGCGTGTGTATGTGTGTATGTGTGCATGTGCGTATGTATGTATGTATGTATGTAAGTATGTAAGTATGTAAGTAAGTAAGTATGTATGTATGTATGTATGTATGTATGTATGTATGTATGTATGCACATATGTATGTATGCATGTATGTGGGTATGTATGTATGTATGAATGCATGTGTGTTACATATATATATATATATATATCATCGTGTTCGCTTCACATTCAGTGATCAGGACAAACACACATGCTGGCATCTGTTCATCTAAGAACATCTAGATGGGGTAGGGTTAGCTCGAAAGGATAGGGGAACTGCTTCACCCAGCCCCACTGTGCATGGCCCAACATACTATCTCTACCCAACTAATCAACCATCAGAGCAGTTTTCCTTTTGGTTTTCCCTTCAAACAAACCCCAAAAAGGGTACCCGCAAAAAAACAAAGAAACACACTCATACTGTGGCTGGACAAAATCCTTCACCACCCAAGAAACCCTGGAATGATGATTCTCCTGTACATACCAACCCAATATATGGTGTTCCATGGTTTCAAAGTGGTGCAGCACCACTTCAAAACCATGGGAAACCACTGTTTGTTGGTATTTACAGAGGAATCATCATTCTATGGCTTCTCAGGTGGTGCAGGATTTCGCAACCATCCACAGTATCTCTCCGCTCGTCTTCGCTCGCTCCCGGCTGGAAGACTCCCCGAAGAGAACCGAGCCGAAGTCCACCACAGGCTGCGCATCAGCATCCTCAAGGGGCAACTGCCCCTTGCAGTCAAAAACCCGGTGCTTCAAACAGGAACCCGTAAAAAAGGGAAACGCACAGCAAACAACATTCAAAAACCCGAGAAAAATACCTGTAAGCTTAGAGCAGCAAAGACCTTTAAACTTAAAAGCGGAGAAACCATCTAAAAGAGGGAAAAAGGTCGCCTTTCCCAAAAGCGGGGGGACATTCTCTGAATGGGAACTTCTTGGGAGAAAAAGGCAACCTTCAAAGAAAGGAAAACAGCAAACAAAGGGGAAAGTCAAACAAGCGAAACCTTGAAAAACAGCGAGCGAAACGCAAAAAGGGGAAACCCTTGACCAAGGCCGCAGAATCAACAAAAGGAAACCTTCAAAAACGAGGAAAACGCATGAAAGACAAAAAGCAGGTGCTCCCAACAGGAGGCTCCTGTGCACTAAAGATGAAGTTTTGCGGGTGTCATGTTCGCAACCCCAAAGCCACTCACTTGGGATGACAAACACCAGACGGAGAAAAGCACCAAAGCTTCGGGTAGAAGATGAGGGGGGCAGTCCCCTTGCCATACATCTGCCCATTTGGCGAGCTCGCCTTGGGGCAATGCGAGCTCACCATGACGTGTGTGTGTGTGTGTTAAAAGAAAACAAGAATGCCGTCTATTTGGGGGAAAGCAACAACCGCCTTTTGTTTCATGGGTGTCGGGCAGACCTCGTTTTCATGAAGGCTTTGAGTACTTGACTGAGGCTGGAGGCAGCTCCTTAAAAACCAACCAACGGCTTTTGTTTTGGGGGGGGTAGGGGTGGTGGGGGGGTTGCTGTGCCCTCGTTTTTTTGAGGTGTAAAAGACCTGCTGTTTTAGGTGCCCCTGTATTTTCCCAGCTTGAAACGAGGTGTATGAAGCCCTCTGTTGCAGCGGTCAGAGAAAAACACATTGAAGGAATACTGTAGTTTCCCCTCCGAAAAGGCAAAACTAGCACTTCGTTTAGCGGTCCCTGTTACTTTCACCTCCTGAACAAAACAACCACTTTTGCAGGTGTCCCTTCTGGTCCTCTATTGAAAAGACAGAAACAAACACTTGTTGAGGGTCCTCTCTGCTTTGCTGTCTTAAACACGCTAAAACAAACAGTTTTTGAGAGATTCCCTGCAGTTTCCTGGTTTCAAAGGTTCCTCCCTGGTTCAAGATTTCCCTCTTTGTAAAATGTCCATGTTTGTTGTTAGTGAGTCATGAAGCGACCGTAGCCCTAGCATACGACCTTGAGACGGCCACAATGGCCTCAAGTGCTACTGACACGGCCATAGCCCGAGGTGCTACTAGTTTGGGAGCGTGTCCCCCAACATGTCATCGCATTTGTTTGGCCATAGTCCAATTGAATCAGAGACATGATGGGAGGTTTATGACCGCCGCTAACAGGCACACATAGTCGCTCTAAATCAGTACATAAAATCACGCTTGTCGGGCGACCTGGAGGGGGAGGGGGAATAATACAGGGTCAGTTCAAGGATACCTTTTGGCCAAATGACAAATCACTTTTACCAGCTGATTCAGAGGATCCCCTAGCGACGGGATCGGCCCAGGTTGAACACGAGTTTGAGTTTGCAGCGCATGGAGATTTTGCTATGTGCCATGGTCGTTCGTTCGACCCCTTGACTTGGGTTTGTCTCAACAAATCCAACATGCTCCCAATTGGGATATTGTGGTTCGGGGAAAGGAACCAGGTATGGCATGCATGAGCTTGGGTAAAACCTGGGCTGTACGTAGTCTATGGTCAATTCGGGGTTGGGGAGAAGGGGGAACAGCTACCGGGACGAATCCAATTGTCCCGGGCCCGCAACGGGAACCGCAGTTCAGGGGTAGATCAGACCTGCAGTATCTTACCAAGCTTCGGTTCGCAAACTAAACACAGCCAGTGGCTGGACAAAGCTCTTGCTGCAAGCACAATTGCGGCATCTATCGGCAATCGGCCTTCAGGCAGCACCTGACGCGAAGGAAGCCAAAGCCATACTCGGAAAGGTTCAGACAGAACTGAGGATCTTGGGGGGTCAAGGGCTCTGAGAGCCTTTCTCGGCGGGACAGTGGGAAGAAGGGTGCCTTTCTATGGAGCTGAAAAGGAAGCAACCCACAGGTCGTTGTGTCTCTCCGACGGTGGCATCCTGCGGTGTGATTGTGAGGATCGTCTTCTTGGTGGTGCACCGCAGGGGGAAATCGATGCGGCCTGGTCGAAGCTGCAAGGGCTTCCGTCCGAAGTCGTTCTGCGAATTCAGCCCAGACCTTTTACGTGCCCATTTGATCCAAAGCGGTTGAGTCCGGACAAAATGCCTATACTTCAGACCCAAGCGAGTAACCTTCTCCGGCCGCAAACAAATGCCTGGGTGAGGTGGCGATTTCATTTAGCCGAACTGGATGCTTCTTTGAGGTGGGCAATGCATCCACCCTCACCTCACAGAGCCGCACAACGCGCCGCGCCTGTCTTGGCCAGAATGGGGAAGGTGGAAACGATATCCTGGCTCACCTTTGGGATGAACCAAAGCGTAATGTACCTGTCAGGGCAGAGAATGGGCCAACTGCACACCGCAAACAAAAATATATATCATTGAATCCTGGTCGGCCAAAAGCCAAGCATACACAACATGCTTGCCAAAAACTCTGCTAGGGATACCAGGCCGAGAAAGACTGTGCTTTTCTATTTGAGCTGTGCTCAATTCCCAATTGGATCCCATGGCTAGTTTAGTGGGCGGTTCTACTACCTGCTTTTAAAGGCCTATATCTATATATATATATATCCAGGTTGGCAGAATCAATCGTCAATGGGTGGATGCTGCTCGTTCGGCTTCAACAGCGGTTCAAATCCCCAACGGCCGATAACCTAGCCACGAGTTGGGCGCAATCCGACAATTTCCTCACTGCACATGTCAAGGGGAATCAAGGTTGCTCCAAAGCACGGGTGCACAAGCTGTGTCTCCCACGCAGACTTGGTTCACGTTCGACCCCTTTGGGACAAGAAACACCCCCGTGAGAAAATTAGAGCTGGTCCCCTCGTCCCTCCCAAATAAACCATAGGATGTTTTGACTCAACCTCTTGGTGGGAGGGAAAAGACCTGGGAATCCTTTGCACTCCGAGCCCCGTCCTGGTCACACCGGCAGACATGCGCCCTGGAGGTACAAACTGAATCTCGAAGAAGTCCTTCCTGGGGCAGGGTCCAAGAATTTCAGCTGGCTATGAATGTTCACACGCTGGGAAAAACTCAAAAGTTGTTGGTGGGCATGAATCCCCGGCGAACTGATGTCCAGCACAAGCTTAATTCAGACCCACCTTTACTCTTGGACCTGGTTGAATTAAAGGAATGAACATACTGATCAAAGGAATCCCCCTACATATCCAAGAACAACACTAAGAGTCCCTTGGTAGCTTCGAAGGACCAAAGGCCCCCCCAGGCATCTCCTTTTGAATCGACTTCGAACTCGGAAACCAAAGCTCACATCGGGCTGACGTTCGCAAAAAAAAACAAAGGCGAAACAATTGGCACATCCACTCCGGAGAACTCCCTGTGGATGGACAAGATCTTGCACCACCTAAGAAACCCGGGAATCATATTTCCCCTGGAAATGAAAACAAACCATGGATTCCCATTGTTTCAAAGTGGTGCAGGATTCGTCCGTCCACACACCCAAATTGATAAAATAAGTGGCCTGTACGCCTCAAAAGACACACCCAAAGTGGCCCCATGGCCAGAGTTTCCAAGTTTTTGGGAATCCCTCTCGCCTATATCTCTATCAAGGAGTTGATGATATTCACTGCAACCTTCAATTAACACATTTCTATTGGCCGTCTCACTTCCTCAGTGGATGGCCCCCCTTTAAAAAAGAAAGTATGGTCTGAACTTGTTGTCGCCCAAAAACTCAAAAATGAGCCAAGGGAGATATGTAATGTATCAAACCTGAACATTAAAAGTTGAGCTTTGGGATCTTAAAGGTAGAAGGGAACTCCAGTATGCGAACAGATCGATCCGCGTTGGCAAATGCCAGGGCATGTATGACCTATGTCGCAAGGATCAGTGCTGGGAGTTTGTGCTGGGTCCTTGACAAAGGCCATCTGATTCAGAGCCAAAGCAAGTGGAGCCATTGCAATCTAGTCACTAGTGACTCTTAGGGGCCATGAAAGAGCTATGGCTCTGCATCAGTACTGTATTGAAAAAGAAATACGGTTGCTTCCAGCAATATTGCATGTGAACAACGTCCAACCTGGTGAATTGCTGTGAGCTACAACGTGTCCAACTTGTTCCCTGCGTGCAATACTCAGGGCATCCACTGTAGCAACATATGTTTTTATTTGAGAACCGACTCGTAAAACACTGACAAAAGATGTGCCGCTGAACAAATCGAAGTTGGGGCAACTGTTGACACATGTGCCATGGCCAAAACTACCGTGCGTCTGTGTGTTTGTGTGTTTGTGTGCCTGTGTGCCTGTGTGTCTGTGTGTCTGTGTGTGTGTCTCTGTGCCTCTGTGTGTCTCTGTGTGTCTGTGTGTTACCTTGTCTGTGTGTGTGTGTGTGTTGCTGGTCATGAACAAATTATAGTGGTTGTCAAAACTCCTTGGAAGGGGCTTCATGACCATCTGCCACTGCCAAATCAAGCCATTGCCTAAGCAGCAATCTGTAGGCCCGAAAGTGTTCCGGCGCCTTGAAAAGAATCTAGGACACGGCGCCTATGTTTCGTTTCCTGTGGAAGCATCACCCACAAAAGAATGGTCAACAATCATGGTCCAGCAAGCTACGTTTAACTAGGCTTTAAAAGGATAAATATAGAGACACCTGAATAAAAGCCCAAGGGGGTCTCTGGATGTGCCATTCACAGTCGCGACTGACGGTATAGTGCGTATCTATCAGTTAGCACTTTTTAGCAGGCGGCACAGTTAGCACATCCCTGGGTTGGCCGGAATGCCCCCGTCAGCCCCGAACAGTTAGCACACACCTGCCACACCCCGAAACCGAAAGGGGCGACCAACAGTTAGCACATGCCTCTCTGGTTGTGGGCAGAGATACGCTTTCTGAAATGAGCAACTTTCGCAATGCAGTACAAATGTAGTAAAGGAAGTACACTTGGCAGATCCGTCTCAAAAGTCGCAACTTTTCAGTACAAGTGTCGTAAAGGAAGTACACTTTGGCAGCTCCGGCTCGAGAGCCGCAACTTTTCAGCACAACTGTAGTACAGGAAGTACGCATTGGCAGCTCCAGCCCGGACGTCTCAACTTTTCCGTACAAGTGTAGTACAGGAAGTACGCATTGGCAGCTCCTGCCCGGAAGTATGCTTTGGCAGCTCCGGCTCGAAGGTCGCAACTTTTCAGTACAAGTGTAGTGAAGGAAGTACACTTTGGCAGCTCCAGCTCGAAAGTCGCAACTTTTCAGTACAAGCGTAGTAAAGGAAGTACATGTTGGCGCTCCGGCTCGAAAATCGCAACTTTCCAGTACACGTGTAGTAAAGGAAGTACACTTTGGCAGGTCGGGCTCAAAAGTCGCAACTTTCCAGCACAAGGAAGTACATTTTGGCGGCTCCGGCTCAAAAATCGCAACTTTCCAGTACAAATGTAGCAAAGGAAGTAGATTTGGCAGATCCGACTCGGAAGTCCAGTACAAGCGTAGTAAAGGCAGTACACTTCGGCAGCTCCAGCTCAAGAGTCTCAATTTTTCAGCACACGTGTAGTATAGTGCGTATCAATCAGTTAGCACTTTTTTCCTAGGCAGATAGCACATTACTGTGTTGGCCGGAATGCCCCCGTCACCCCTGAACAGTTTGCACACACCTGCCACACCCTGAAACCCAAAACAGCGGTCAACAGTTAGCACATGGGGCTCTCTGGCTTTGGGCAGGCGAACAGGACATCAAAGGGCTACATACGCTTTCTCGAATGTTCATGGAAGCACACGTGTCAAATCTTCACTAAGCGTAGAAACTTGCAGAACCCAGTGAGCCTATGATGGAGGAAGGGTGTGCGGTCGACTGGCTTACATGGAGTAGTACTTTGTTGAACGTTATTATTGTGTTACAGTGTTATTGAACTTTGGCAGCTCCGGCTCGAAAATCGCAACTTTGTAGCACAAGTCTAGCTACGCGAAGTACACTTTCGCAGCTCCAGATCGAAAATCCCAACTTTGTAGCACACAAGTCTAGCACGCGAAGTGCACTTCCGCAGCCCCAGCTCGAAAATCGCAACTTTGTAGCGCAAGTCTAGTGCGCGAAGTGCACTTCCGCAGCTCCAGCTCGAAAATCGCAACTTTGTGGTACAAGTCTGTGCGCGAAGTACACTTCCGCAGTTCCAGCTCAAAAATCGCAACTTTGTAGTACAAGTCTAGTACGCGAAGCACACTTCCGCAGCTCCAGCTCGAAAATCGCAACTTTGTAGTACAAGTCTAGTACGCGAAGCACACTTCCAAATCGCAACTTTGTAGTGCAAGTCTAGTGCGCGAAGCACACTTCCGCAGCTCCAGCTCGAAAATCGCAACTTTGTAGTACAAGTCTAGTACGCGAAGTGCACTTCCGCAGCTCCAGCGCGAAAATCGCAACTTTGTAGCACAAGCCGAGCACGCGCGAAGAACACAAGTCGCGACTTGCCTTAGCGTTTTACGGCGGCCACGCAAGGGTCCCACCCCAACTAAGCTGCAACTGCAGTGGTTATTGTAGAGCCACGTGTTAACTAACGGTTATCGTTTTTGGGGGAGACCTTATCGTTGTCCGTGGCTTTTTGGAGTCGTAGGCCAAAGCGTACCCCCTTTACCAAAGTGGTCTACACGTGTTTTGTCCGTGGCTCTTTTGTGTCCCACGACTTTTTCAGGGTGAAAGACAAGAGCTTGCCAACATACAAATGGATTGCCAGGTGCCAAATTCTAGCGCGTTGACGTGTGGAAATCCAGCAATGCAGCTCCGGCTCGCAAGTCGCAACTTTTCAGTACATGTGCAGTCAAGGAAACATACACTTTGCCAGCTCCGGCTCGAAAGTCGCAACTTTTCAGTACAAGGAAACTTTGGCAGCTCCGGCTCGAAGGTCGCAACTTGTCAGTACAAGTGCAGTAAAGGAAAGACACTTTGGCAGCTCCGGCTCGAAAGTCGCAACTTTTCAGTACAAGGAGATACACTTTGGCAGCTCCGGCTCGAAGGTCGCAACTTGTCAGTGCAAGTGTAGTAAAGGAAGTACACTTTGGCAGCTCCGCCTCGAAAGTCACAACTTTTCAGAACATGTGTAGTAAAGGAAACGCACTTTGGCAGCTCCGGCACCAAAGTCGCAACTTTTCAGTACAAGTGTAGTAAAGGAAATACACTTTGGCAGCTCCAGCTCAAAGGTCGCAACTTTTCAGTACAAGTGTAATAAACAAAGTACACTATGGCAGGCAAACGTACAAACGCTCGGGCTCCCGCTTGGGGCGACACGGATGCCACGCAACAGGTGTCAGCAAAAGGAAGAGCAACCGCGTTCGAGTTTCTGCTCGGGCCGAGCACGGGTGCCACGCAAGGGCACAAGCAAAGGCAAGCGAAGCCACGCTCGGAATCCCGCTCGGATCCCGCTCGGGCCGAGCGCGGATGCCACGCAAAGGCGTCAGACCCTCTTGCGGAAGCCATACAGTTAGCACACGCCAGACGCTCTTGCACCTCGCTTGGCCATGTCAGCCAGCCAGGATGCAACCGTGCTTCTCTTACAGTATTTGCCGTTTCCTGCAACGGCAGCCCAACTGTCTTGATAATTGAATTTGGCTTTGGGATTCACAAACAACGGGCCCCTAAAAGCCTGGCAACTCCACCCCTGAAAGCCTGGCAACTCCAACCCTAAAGCAATGCTTCCTGCGACTTGAAAGGGCGCCCGTAGAATAAAACGACACTATCAAGAAGCTTGCATTGTCCGAGTTTTGCGTCCAAACGCAAACACATTATCGTAGCAAAACAGTTGGGCCACCAAGTTTCGAAGTGAAGCTGACTTGGGCACCGAACACAAGCTTTACCCGCAAGACAAAGACAAGTCCATAATCATGAAGAAACACCGTGCCCTGGTTTTACTCTTGAAAGCCCACAAGTTTTGCCGGGGCCGCGCCCGCAAACAGGCTTGGGATCCCGCTCAAGCCGAGCACAGACGCCGCGCAAAGGCGCTGGTAAGGACCAAAG